CAGGCGGTCCACGTACCGACAATCTGTCGGACCGGTACGTACCGCCCGTACCGGGCGGTACAGCTCGGTACGGCAGACCCTGAACACAACACATATAAATTATTGCACACATTTTTGTTTCCTCATATATGATGTGCTTGACGCAGTTAAGGTATGACTGGGAGAATGTGGATCACATTGGTTCTCCACACAATCACCATGTGACCATAGAGGTGGTCTGAAGACCGGAACCTGCATGACTTGCAGTTATCTGTTGCAATTCCATGTTGTGCTGCAGTATATTTTTTTTCATGTTTATTTAATTTTCATTTATGTCCTTTGAGGTTAAATATACAAGGACATGTTTGTTTCGTGTTCATCCTCGACATTATATTTCTCAAGTACCTGTCAAGATGATACTTGAAAATTTTCATAAGCAACTCGATTTTTCTGTTGTTCTGTTTTGTTGTTCTGCTCTCTGAAGGTACATCTGTATATATTTTCAGGGTGGAGAATCAGAACAGGTTTCAGTGAAGGCCACTGTCCTTGCAGAATTACAAAGGAGGATCCTAAAAGCTGAGGCTGCTCTGAGAGATAAGGAAGAAGAAAATGACATACTCCACCAGAGACTCCAACAGTACGAGAGCCGATGGTCAGAGTACGAGCAGAAGATGAGGTCTATGGAGGAAGTGTGGCAGAAGCAAATGATGTCCTTGCAGTCTAGCCTCTCCGTCGCAAAGAAAAGCCTTGCTATCGATGATGTTGAACGGAGTTCTGATGCCTCGGTTGACCATAGCTGGGGCAGCGCAGAACACGTTAGGACCAAAGGGCGGGAGGAGAATGGAACTCCACGATTGGTTTCGCGAGTGCTTGACAGAGAAATGAGTGCTGGGCTGAGCGTTATCAGCCGCCTGGCAGAAGAATTCGACCAGCGGACGCAAGTGTTTGCTGATGATGCGAAGTTTCTGGTGGAGGTGAAGTCCGGTCAGTCGGACGCCAGCCTGAATCCTGACAAAGAGCTGAGGAGACTGAAGCAGAACTTTGAACTGTGGAAAAAGGACTTCAGCTCTCGGTTGCGTGAGACCAAGGTGATCATAAACAAGCTCGGCACCGATGATGCGGGTTCGGACAAGGGGAAGAGGAAATGGTGGGTGAGATTGAACAGTGCCAGGATAATTTGAACGGCGATAAAATTTATTATATTTGCTGTTCCATTGGCCTTTGTGATTTTTGTATTTATGTTGGAAGAAGAGAATTCTGTTGTGCATCCCTGCACAGTAACAAAGAGTCTGACGGGTAAAGAAGGTAATAGCGTTGAGGTACTTTGGTGTATCAGCTGTATATGGCCACAAAGCATCATGTTCATGTAGAGTCATATACATATGATGTGTCAACTGGTATTGAGCATCTGCTTTGTAGATTTTTCCACTTGAAAGATGATGTACTATCTCTCTCTCAACAATGCCTACTACTACCAATTCTTATGATATTGTAGTGGTAGTTTTCTTCCTTCCATTTGGTGATTATATGTTAGAGAGGTGTCTACACAGACAAAGATCAGTTTTTATTTGTCTTATGACATAATGGTTCAAATCACACACTCATCTAAAGATTATAATCAACAGCATGCAACATATTTCACAGCTTCAACCATAAATCCAAAAGTTAGTGTAAGAAAATTACGGCACATTGTGGCAATTGAAACAGATAATTTTGTGACAATAAATCATTGGGACCAAAAACAAAGCAGGTTGGACAACTTTTCCAAAACTCACAAGAAGATAATAGTCTTCAAAACCAATGGATTTTATGAAAGAAAAGTGTCCAATCAAGAAACCAAACACACTGTGCATGGATAAATTAAAACAAACAAAAGATGATAGTCAAATCTTGGAAAGAAAGGATGTGGCCATATCCAACATGTAGCTGTAATCAGTAAACCTTCAGATTTGAGCATAAGCTCAATAAACCAATCAAATAGGTTCCCATAAAGACAGCTGGTGGATCGGTGGTTCTCAGCAGACCAAATGAAGAGAACTGTGAACAGACTTCTTTGATCATAGCATTGTAGATGAGGATAAGCATGGATAGAAGCTGGCCAATCTAAGTGTTCGAATTCAACTTAGTTGACCATTAAACCTTCAAAAGTCATGCACGAGCCATAAATTAAGCACAAAGTTACGTGCCTCTGGAAGCAACAGATGACTCGTTCTCCTCTTCATCTGCTTTTGTCTTGTGATGAAGGTTCTCACAGCCTTCTCTCTCTGCTCCTCGACCATGTCTTACATACGTCAATGGTGATTAGAGTGACAATTAAGTGTGGAAACACAAACGCTGTAATGGAAAAGAAGGATGATGATATTTGGATAAAGTAATGAGCTTCCACCTGGCTTAAAATCCACGTCTAATAAAGTTCTTGTTATAGATTGCTTGGTGAGTACGACAAATACTTTTCTATCTACATCTAATTCAAAGCTGTGTTCTTCATCAACTTCCTGCAATTCGGCAATCTCTGATGGTGTCCAACTTGCATTTTGCTTTCTAGAACACAAAATGTTGTTTACAGAATCCTGGTTTCTTGTGAACTCTGCTCACCTTTAACACCTACTTAGCGTAGTATAAATACTGCCTGCATGGATCAGCTTCCTCTCATCTCTCCCGCCACCATCAGCCATGAAGCCGACTCGATTCGTCCTCTCTGCTATCTTCCTTGTCTTCTCCGCCCTCGCACTTCCGGCATCTGCGGACGAGCCGGTCCGTGACACGGATGGGAACGTGCTACAGCGCGGCGTGGATTACTACATCCGGCCCACCGTCACTGACATCGGCGGCGGGCTAACCCTAGAAGCCCGGAACGGCTCCTGCCCTCTAAGTGTGGCCTTGGCGAGCTTGCCCGCCGACAACGGCCTGCCGCTGCAGTTCTCGCCAGAAGACGACGACGACGACACCGTGGAGTTATCGACGGACACGAACGTCATCTTCTCGGCGTTCACCACATGCTTGCAATCGACGGTGTGGAAGCTGGAGCTTGACGAGGGGGAGGGGCGGTACTACGTGGTGATCGGAGGAGTTGCCGGGAACCCGGGAAAAGAGACGCTGAGCAACTGGTTCAAGATAGAGAGCTACCAAGGAGTCTATAAGCTGGTGTTTTGCCCGACGGTGTGTGATTATTGCAGACCTGTGTGTGGATCTCTGGGTGTCTACGAACAAGGTGGAAGACAGTGGCTCGGTATCAGGGATGACACGCCATTCCCGTTCGAGTTCAAGAGGGCATGAGCTTCGGTACGTGAATACATCTACTGTCATACATCTATATATCAATAAAGGAGGCATTGTCTTCGGTTGATGGTGGAGGCTTGCATGCTTTGTTTGAGTCCCCGCGTGTGTGGGTATGGGTGTGGTGGATTGGCATTCTCAAACTCTTTGTGCCACACTCCCATGAATCATAGGTTACCCTCAAACATAGGAGAATGAATCTCTCTATCAACATGAGTGACTCTTTTCATGCTGTGCAAAAGGATAATAAGTTATAGATTCTGTCTCATTAGGATATATATATTTCTATTATTATGATATTTAACTTTTTTATAATGATGAAATTATTAAATAAAATTAAATTAGCTAATGGTGGGTTACCACCAGACTTTTTCTTACAATGTATTCCTGACAAAATGAATTTTTGTCCATTTTCTTTTTAGAGGTCTAATAGAAAACAAAAAAAAAAGGTGTGGAAGAAAATAAAAAATAAACATGGGTTGAGTTGTGCGGAAGAGATAGATCTCGCGGAGAGTTAATTACATATTACCTCTAACTATCTTATCTTTAGCTTCTCGATCTATATTCTTATAAGAATTATATTAGGGTTTCTATATCTACAAAAGTAAATTATTGAGATCCTTATATTGGGTTAGAAATAAAAGAATTTTATTGAATCAACATGATTAATATAATATATCAATGTAATTTTTGAAAGTATAAGGATCAAAATACTAGGATAGGATGACAATGGATAGAGAAACATTAGACAGGGTTACCGATCAATAGGGAGTAAAATGATTGAAATGGGACTCAACAATTGAAATATTTCATGGGTCCCACCCACCACGCAAATACTGCACGTGTAGAGAGCATACTTGTCTCCCGCCGATGTGATGGTGTTCACCGTCTCACATCGAATCAAAGGATGATTCTAACAAAGTTGTTCGTTTTGTGCTTAAAAAAAAAAAAACAAATCAGTTCTTTGTTAATAAAATTAAGGTAACAAAGATATGAAATCAAAATAAAAATATTATTATGGACACTGTCACATCTGATTAATGGAAAAATCTTATGTTATGGTGGTATGAGATTCGCATATCATGTAGCTTTTTTATTTCCAAGTGATAAATTCTCTCAGCTTTTATTATTTATTCTTTTTGGAGGTTTCCTTGTTAATTTTATTATTTTACATATCAAAGACGATCAACTCTTTGGAATGTAAAATAATAATGAGTTAGTTAGGGCATTTTAGTATATTATATATATATATATATGTATATATGTATATATGTATATATGTATATATATATACATATATATACATATATACATATATATACATATATATATATATGTATATATATATATATGTATATGTATATATATATATATAC